AGACACTTTTTTTTTTTTTACTTTTACCAGCATTTATTTGATGCTGAATGTACTTCCAGTACATAAATTTTTGTTTCTTCAGTTTCTCCTGGGATGTTTTTTTTCTTCTGTGCAACATCCTCTCCTGGTTTAGGAACAATCTGCTCTTGTTCAGTGAGGATCATCTCTGTGTGGCAGGGAGAGATTGCGACCGGGTTCATCCGCCCATGAGCTCTGTCAGTTCTGTGCTGCATGTTGGGAGTTTTGTTCACCTGGATGTGCTCAGTGACCAGAGAGTCTACATCTAAATCCTTAAGTCCACCGCTACTCTGTGCATTTTTAAGCATGTGCAGCATAGATTCAGCACTCTTTTTGGCCCCTGGTCCTGCATCTAGCCCCATTGTCTGGCCTGGGCACACCTACCAACATATTGCTTCTGTAAAGTGACATCCTTCAGATAGTTGGCGGCTTTTCGGATATGCATACCCTTGATGGTCTGGGAGTTTCACGCGTGCTCTTAAAGTGAACGTGAAGATTTGAACCTCCTGATTTGCATGATTTTGGGGGGTTTTCTGGACCAAGTGAATCGTGAACCATTTTCAGGTCACCTTATGGGAAGAGGCTGCTTATGGGAAGAAGTGACACTGACTTTTAAAGCTATACTCATAAATTCACACTTAAGGAAAGTCTTGAAACTATAGTTTTATTAGACTAATACTAACAAAAGTGTTTATGGTTTAAAAAGGTGGCAACTGTCACATAATTTATAAGATTGATTGAGTGCTTACTGTATGTCAAGTATACTTCTAAAAGCTTGACATGTATCATCCCAGTCCTTAAAACAACCCAGTGAGGTAGGTACTCTTATCATTTTGTGTTATAGATGAGAGATAGAGAGAACTGATTTTCCCAAAGTTATATGGCCAGCAAATGGGAGAGCCTGAATTTAAATCTAGGTAATCAAGTTTCAGAGTCTGTGCACAGACTCATCAATCAGGGACTGAAATCTCATCAGGCTTCCTGCTCTGACAGAAAAATTTTTTGCAGTTGCTCCTATTGGATGAGAATAAGGCACAAACTCAGTCTCTCCACACCTGCCTCCAACTTAGGTCTCCTGCCTTGAAGCAGAATCTCCCCAAGTCCGTGCTGTGCCACTCTCATCAGGTACCTTACCCATCCTCGCAAAATGCTGCAAACTTCCATGCCTTTCTGCCTTGCCATTTGCTGTGCCTAGCAAACCAATGTCATGGGACCTTTCACCTCGCTTCCTTCTCCAGTCTGAAACAGCCGCCTCTCACTCACATTTCCACGATGATGGGCCATCTGCACATGCCTCTAATGAATACTCACCATGTTGTCACTCTTAGTTGCCACCGTTTGTGTCTGCTCCCCTCACTTGACTGTGGGCTTCTTGAGGAAAGGGCTCGTGTCTGGGCTTGAGGCCAGTCTCATCCAGGAGAAAAATTAAATGAAATACCAGTTTAATGACCAAAATCACTGAAAAGCAATTTATATCGTGTCCAAGTCTGGCAAATAACATTGAGGGGAAGATTCCATTTGCCATACAGCGGAAACCTTTTAAAGATACTCGTTTGCTATGTCTCAGCTCCATGGTAGTTGCTCCGAAAATCTTTCTCCATTCTAAATGCTCATGGAGAACCCAGCAGTGGTGGAATCTCATCTTCCTTTCTTCGCAGCCCTTTCCCCTTCTGGATCTTTCTATCTCATAGGTCAGCAACGTTCTGTCCTTGCCATATGATTCCAGCTAGCCTCTCCAGTTTCTTGTTTTGGGCTCACCTCTCCATCCTATCGACAACACATGGTCTAAGTACAGGAAAGAATGGGTGCAGGGTGGAGTGGGGGAAGGTTATGACTATGAAAGGGTTTATATTTCCTCTGATCACACCCACCTTGGTGTTGTCAGCTACTAACTCAGAGCCTGGCACATAATTGGTGCTCCTGAGAGTGTCTTTTCTTTCTCTCTCCCTCCTCCTCCTTTTGGGGAAAAGCCCAAATATGTCCAAAGCCTTCCCTAAGTGGGTCCCAACGTTGTCTCCTTTTTACCTTTTACTTCTCCCTAACAGAGTTCAAGGCTTCAAACAAGCAGCCATAGGGCTCCAAGCATGCATTTCACCGTCTCCCTTCCCGGCTTTGCTCAGCGCTCTTCTCTCTCACGGCTCCCTGCTCCTCAAGTAAACTGCTCCAGACTTTGCCTTTCTTTCAGTTCCACTTTGCCTGGACAGCCTGCCACCATCATCCCCACCTCCCTGTCCCTGGGATCACCACTGGCTGCCAGGACCAGTCCTCTTGTCTTGTGATGTTGCCTGAATCATGGCCATGGGCCGACTTTCTCATCAGTGTCTCAAACTGACTTTTCGAGTTGTTTTATTACCCCGTCTAGACTACAAGTTTCTTATAAACAGCAGAATTAATTCAATTGAACTGCAACTTTAAATAATAATAACTCCAACGAGGCACTACTATAGTTCAAGTTGTAGACACATCTGACTTCTGAAAAGTTATGTGAAAAATGTGTGTTAGATGAAATGTGGTGCTACTTCTCCCCCACATTGCTGTGCCTTGAGCACACCGGGCATGCTCTGCCTTTGGGTTTTGCCCTTGCCGTTCCCTTTATCTGGAATGCTCTTCCTGTGAGGCTTGTTCCTCACCTCCTTCCGGTCTTTGCTCAGATGTCACCTTCTTGGCGAGGCCTTCCTTTACCCTATTTAACATTGCAAAACCTCATCCATGATTTCTATTTTTTTACACTGATTTTTCTCCATAGCATTTATCATTAGCTGGCATATCTATTATCTGTTTATTGCCAGTGTTACTTCCACTAGAACGTCAGCTCTAGGAGGGCAGGGGTTTTGTTTATGGCTGTTGTCCTTAGTGTCTAGAACAGGGCCTGACACATAATAGGTAGTCAATGATATTGTTGAATAAGAGTTTAAGTTTCATCAGGTTGGATGTGTGTTTTTGCTTACCACTTATAACCCCAGTGCCCAGCATAGTAGTTGGCAAATTCAATATTTATCCACTGAGGGATAGATGAAGCTCCCATGAACTAGATGACTTGCTTAATACCATCTAGCCTGGCGAGGGAAGAGTAAGGAAGCCATTTGGCTGACTCAGGGGTCTTTTGTCCCACTGGGTAGTGACTGCTTAATTCTATTTGAGAGAGGGACTTTTATGAGAAGATTTTCTTCTGGTTTCCCCAGTGCCTGATGCAGCGCTTTGCACATAGTGTGGTTGCAATAAATATTTACATAACGTTTTTTAATCTAGGGTGTTACCGTAAAATGCTGTAGCCCACAGCCGCTTCGTTTCTTCAGGGGCTAATTTGGGCGTGCCAGTGTCTGTCCGCTGGCCCTTCAGAGAAGTAAGGAACAAACAGCACAAAGTGCGCTCTGCCCATCTGCAAAGGGCTTTTTCAAGTCCAGGCTGAGGCGCTTTCTGGCCTCTTAAGCACGTTGACCATGACCATTTACACCCCCGCCCCAACCTTTTTGGGGCCCAACGACCTAGAGGACGATCTCCCCTCCTCTAGATGGGGGACTGGCAGGGAAATGGAGGGGGGAGGGACGCCCATCCCCCCACTCCCTATCCGGACCTTCGCAGC